TTTCTTTAGTTTCCTATTATATTAGAAGGTATATAATTTCTGGTTGACCCACTTGTAGTGATCCTAAAATTGTTCAGAAGATGTATCATTCTTAAATTAATGGTTTCAGCATCCATGCATAACCCTTGCTTAGAATCGTTTCATTAGGGGCTACTAAATGGCATTTATTAGCTAAAATTCTGTTATAAGAAATTTTCCACATCAACTGTTTATCCCACAATAAAATTCATATAGGAAAGTCGGGATAAAAGCCTTCATTCCTTACCTTTATTCAGAATGAGGCAGTTATCCTTGTAATCTTCAATGCTGACCAGTTGGGGTTTTTTTTTTTTTTTTTTTTTGAGTGAAAATATACATATAAGTGTGTCTATGTATGTGTCTAGTGCTTCAATCCATTGCTGTCATTCCTTTTGGTGTTCAAATTGCCCCGTCATAATCAATGAGAGCCTCTTCAGGTTGTATTTTCTAACCTTTTGACAGGATCTCAGTGGCCTTTCATAACTTCCTGACCAATCATCTCTATGTGCCACAACATTATTTATCATCTTTCTCATAATTATTAGTAAATATCAAACTACACCAAGCAGGGTGATGAAGAGAGATCAGGAGAAAGGGAAGAAGGGAGGGAGGGAGGTAGGGAGATATCTTTTTGGTTGGCAAATCTGTTATTGGATAGTTTTAAATATAAATATATTTTTCTAAAGAGAACAAAATGGTGTTAAATGCATGAGTTGTGCCCTAACCAATCTGGCTCAATGGATAGAGCGTTGGCCTGAGGACTCAAGGGTCCCAGGTTCAATTCTGGTCAAGGGCAAGTACCTTGGTTGGTACCCAGCAGGGAGTGTGCAGGAGGCAACTGATCAATGTTTTTCTCATCGATGTTTCTAACTCTCTATCCCTCTCCCTTCCTCTCTGTAAAAAGTCAATTAAAAAAAATGCATGAGTTGCCACTCTGCATTAATAGTTTTTTGGGTACCTATCATTATAAGCTTATCAGCTACTATCATTATCCAAGAGGTAAATAATTGACTCTTTTTTAAAATAAGGCACATTTTTACTATGAAATGTATAGTTAAGTACATTTTCTCCACAGCATACTACTTGTTGGATACTTATTTCAAAAATACTTTTTATAAACAATGATAAAAAAAAAACTTTAAATGGATCAAATATTTTTTAAGTTTTCAGCAAATTGAAAAGCCTTGCCATTTGACAGTGAAGACAAATTTTAACTATTTTTAAGAATGGTAATGAGCACACTGAAAACCAGACATTGAAATAAACATTGTCTATGTCATATTTACTAGTAAAGTGAGTTTGAACTTGCTTTCCATAGCACAGTGCTATAAGTCATGAAGTAGAGAAATAAAGATAAAACTCCTAATTACCCTCTTTTTTCCTCCTGGCTGAACCTTTAAAAATTTTCCTATTCTTCCACTCCAGTTATATATTCAGCAGCACTCTAAGCTAACAGCATATTATGGGCCCAAAAGACATAACGGCCTCTGCAGCTGACAGTTAACATAGAGAAGAACTTGATTTCTGCTTTGATGTTAAAGTTAGAAACCATGCAAAGGAATAATGATTTTCTTTCATTTCACCAAGACCTTTATTTCTCAAGAACTAAAATATATCTAAGTCTTGGATTTCTCCTTTTTGCTTCAGTACCTACTTATCTGACTATCTGAAAATTCACTGTTGGACATTTTTCAGTCACTGAGTGGTGAAATGAGTAACTGGAAGATTCCTAACTTGTTTCATGCTTTTACAACCCTACTATAATAAGAGCAAATAATAATAATAGCTCATATTTATTTAGTGCTGGCTCTGTTCTAAGCACTCACAACAAACCTATTGTCTTCATTTGCAAATGAAGAAACTAGGATTAGGGAAAGTAACTTGCCCAAGGTCACACAGCAGCAAAGTTATAGAGCCAGGATTCAAAACCATACTGTTCATCACTCTGAACTCTCTCCCATGGGAGAAAATGACCCCTGTGTGCTAGTCTATTGTGTAACCAAGTTTCTCTAAACACATTGGTGGGGAAAAATAGGAATCAGCTGTGATCATTCACATACTAATTTACTAATTTATTCAACAAATTTTTATTAGCTCCTCAAAACTTTCCTTTAACTTTAAATCCTTTTAAGTGTCTCTGCATATCTGGTATAAGAGAAAACTTCTAATAAATGCTGTGCTTCTCTTTAATGGAAAAATGCCAAATATTTGGTATTATAATACTGAGTTTTAAGCTGACCATCAGAAATTCTTTCTCTTAATAACCTCATGAAAGATGAACTTTATGAGGTCCCTATAGTTCTCTATTCATCACCCTGCTTGGTGTAATTTGAGTTTTATAAACAACTAGAGGCCCGGTGCACAATTTGTTCACCAGTGAGGTCCTTTGGCCTGGCCTGCAGGGATTGGTCTGAAACCAGCTCTCCAACATCCCCCAGAGGGGTTCCTAATTGCAAGAGGGCATAGGCCAGGCCGAGGCACCCCACTGGTGCACAATCAAGGCCAGGGAGGGACGCAGGAGGTTGGCCAGCTGGGGAAAGACCACGGGAGGGCTCCGTCTTGTCTCACTCAGTCCCAATTGGCCAGACTCTAGCAGCAAGCTAATCTACCAGTCAGAGCATCTGTCCTCTGGTGGTCAGTGCACATCACAGTGAGCAGTTAATAAATTAGGTATATTAGAACATTGATATTAGAATATTAAAAGCAACATTAAAGAACAGGAGAGTATGCAAAAGCATTTACTAGCAGGGTAACAAATGTAGGGACCATGTAATCTGAGGACAGGCTGAAGGAATTACAAGTGCACAGTCTGAAAGATGGAAGAGTAAAGGGGACATGATTACTATTTTCAAGGGTTCTCCCGGAAAAGGGAGATTGGTCATAATCTCACCATTTCACAGAAAGGCATTAGAAGCAACAGCTGGTTGCCATGGAGAACAGATCTGGGCCTAAGAGAGCAGTTTCTAACCATTACAGCAATCTAAAAGTCAGGTTAGTTATGTGAGACAGTGAAATTCAATTTCACAGAAATGAAGCAAAGGTTGAAAGACCATCATGAGGAACATTCTAGAATAGTATTTTCCAGAAGGTAGTATGTACAGGTTGGGGCAAAGCAGGTTTATAGTTGTGAGTACATGAAACACAGTTTATTCTTAAATTGTTATTTATTTATTATTGCATTTATTTTTCCATACAAACAACTGTAATCCTACTTTGCTCCATTTTGCAGTACACACACCACTGGCTGTATGAGATTATTTTAACCGGTTCAAAGACTTTATTTTATTTATTATATGTTTCTTTTAACATGTTACAATTTAATAAATATATATACTAAATTAGCTATCAATCCCATGGTTTCATGAATATAACTATTTTAGGATGAGTGAAATAACATAAAACTCATTTAAAGAAAAATATTAAGTGATATAGCCTACTTAACATAATTAGATATTTTATGACCCATTAGTTACAGCCCTAGAATTTATGTAGATAAACAATACACCAATGATTTAATAAAAAGAAAAAAAAACTTTTGAGAGAAAAAAGATATTTTTTTAATTTTTTAAATTAATTCTCCTATATAATAAAAGCCTAATATGCAAATTGACTGAACAGTGGAATGACCGGCAGAATGACTGCTCACTGTGATGTGCACTTACCACCAAGGGGCAGATGCCCAATGCAGGAGCTTCCCCCTGCCTGCAGGCCCCAGGCCAGCCAAGGCGGGCACCAGAAGGGCCACCCCACACCCCAATCGCCCCGCAGAGGGAGGTGACCGGCGGTGGCAGCGGAAGGTGGGGCCAGCAAGCAGGCAGTGCCAGCCTAGCCAAGGCAGGTGCCAGTGGGGGCCCCTCTAGTCACCCCATCGGTTGCCCCACAGATTGGCCTTTATTGCCAGTCAGGCCTAGGGACCTATCCATGCATGAATTTTGTGCACCAGGCCTCTACTAAGTAGTATAGGAATATGGCAAAAATCATGAAGATACCACAAAAATGTCTGCATTTTGGACATCCTGCTCTGTGGAAATTCTTTCATTGAATATCCTGAAACTAAAGTTCTTCTTTACCAAAGTTGTCTTAATTTTCAGTGATTCTATGAAAATATAATAATTTATAACTACCTTATTCAAAGAACCTTCCCAATAAAAGAGAAAAACTATAATTCTTCATTATTTTCCATCACAATTTTAGAAACACTGATTTGTAACAGCTATAGCTATAAAATGATGCCTGGAATTCCTCATAATGAATCTTTTATCACAAAAGACTAATATTCTTGCATCTGAAAAGCATTTACTAAATAAAAGCTTCTATGGGCCGGATCGTGTGTAGATACAAGTTTTAAAGTAAGTTTGTAAGTTTTCATTTGAAGGAGCTATTGCTACCTCAAGGAAAATTTTTAAACATTTAAAGTAAAGCATTAAAAGAGAATGTCTTTACCATCAGGTTCATTAAAAACATAGATGTCCTTTAATATGACTTAAGAACATCAAACTATTTTTTATGCCACACGCTATCTAGACACATGAACCAGATTTAGATTTAAAATCTCTTCAGTAACGGATGCTCTTGCTCCAATATATTCTGAAAATCCTCAGGAATCCTACTGAAGACCTAACGGCAGTCTTTCGATGTCGCTGTGAAAAGTCCGCCTACCTCTATCCTGAGGCAGATTATGGCAGGCATGTTCCTTCAGGATGAAGACAGCGATGGGCCTCGCTGGAGGAACTGGTGCCACAGTATGCTTACGACTGGGGGCATTTTTACTGACCAATGAGAAGCCTGACCTTTGCTTATTTCCTAGCTCTTTCGGCCAAGAGGTAGTTTTGAGTCTGAATAATCAAATAATAAGTGACTTAAAACATGCAGGACAAACACCAAAGCTTAACCTTCTCATCCCCTGAAGACTTTTCCCCAAGTTTGCATCCCGAAATGTATTTCACGCAAAGAAAAACCACGGGCCCAGGAAGACTTCCTACCTCCTGAGTGTGTTCCTTGTAGACCTGCAGTGGCCCTGCGGGCTTGGCAGTGTCCCAGAGCTGCAGCGAGCCATCCCCACTACACGTGACCAGGACGTGTTCGTTGTTCTCACTCCAGGTCACGTCAAACAAACCATCGTTCCAGTCAAAGCTGTCCCAGGAAAAATTGCAACAAAAACATTTAGTGATATAGGCAGTTGAACGTAAAATAAAAACAACGTTACAGGGTTTTTTTTTTTAATTTACAACATTTTAACACATATTATCTCACCTGATCTTCACAACAATGAGAAATAAGTAGAACTGGCACTTGTCATATGTAGAAACACGTTCGGAGAGGTTAAAAGAATAGCCGAATACATATAGCTAGAAAACTGCAAAGCTATATTAAAATTAGGTCTGCCCACTAGCAATGCAGCACCATTCACATGCGGGCATGCTGCCACACTTGGGCGCTCACTGATTTTTGTGGTTCAGAGGCGGGACTAGCAAGCACTTTAGAATACTAATTTAATTTAGAGCAATAATTTCAATATGTCTCCCATAAATCTTTCACATGAGTTATGAGCAGGTAGTTATTTTCTGACAGAATTTCCTTTCCTTTCTCTACCTTAACTACTCTGATGGAGGTGTTGAGTCCAACATACAGACAAGACAAGTATGGAAAGACAGGAAAGATATCTACAAAATGGGTAATAGCTTCTGAATGAGTGAAGGTAAAAGACATCAAGAGATCCAAAATACTAATGTCACAAAGCAGTATACTAACTAGTTTTTTTTTTTGTTTTTGTTTTGTTTTGTTTTGTTTTTTTATTTTTTAGTTTTATAATTCCTAAATGAGCACTAAGAGACAAGAGCTGTAGAAGAAAACTGACAATCAAACTTAATGGCAAAAATAAGTTCTGTACTATGGAAATGCTGACATTTCTTTTATACAACAAATTTTTTAAAAATTTTATGTATAAAGAAAATTCAAAACCTAATTCTATTAAGGATTTAATAGCAAAAGAGAATACATATCCTACATAATAAAGAGGTTAATATGCAAATTGACCATCACTCCAACACATTAAATGGCCACCCCTATGTGGTCAAAGATGGCTGCCCCATGTGGACACAACATGGCCGTCAACAAGATGGCCAGCAGGGGAGTGCAGTTGGGGATGATCAGACCTGCAGGAAAGACAGTTGGTGGGGACCCAGGCCTGCAGGGAAGGATAGCTGTGGGGGAGAGGGAGAACTAGCCCTACAGGGGAGGGCGGTTGGGGGCAACCAGGCTGGCAGGGGAGGGCAGTTAGGGGTGACCAGGTTGGCAGGGGAAGGCAGTTAGAGGGCCCAGACCTGCAGGTGAGGGCAGTTGGGGGGGAGGACAGGACTGTAGGGGAGGGCAGTTAAGGGTGACCGGGCTAACAGGGGAGGACAGTTAGAGACAACCAGGCCTGCAGGAAACGGTAGTTGGGAGTGACCAGGCCAGCAGGGGAAAGGCAGTTGGGGATGACCAGGTCTGCAGAGGATAGTTAAGGGCGATCAGGGAGGGCAGTTAGGGGCAACCGGGCTGGCAAGGGAATAGTTAGGCATCGATCAGGCTAGCAGGGGAGTGGTTAGTGGGTGATCAGGCTGACAGGCAGAAGTTATTAGGGGCAATCAGCCAGGCAGGTAGGCAGGCGAGAGGTTGGGAGCCAGCAATCCTGATTGTGAGAGGGATTCCCAGATTGGAGAGGGTGCAGGCTGAGCTGAGGGACATACACACACACACACACACACACACACACACACACACACACCACGTATTTCGTGCACCAGACCTCTAGTGAGTTAATAATTAGAGAACTATTTTACCTTCTAAAAATCCTAAGCCCAGATTCATCTTGATCCAATATTAGCAGAGTTCCACAGCCTAAGGGGAAAAAAAGTTGAGGTTATGCTGTTGAAACCACCAGGGGACCATTTAGGTTAAGGAGGAATCAAGTACCGAGTATCTAAAATTACTAACATGAATTTCTCCCTAAAGCTATTGAGACCATGTTTACAAAATAATGGGTTTGCGTTCTCCATTTGTCTTTCTATATTGTGCTTCAATCATTAAATATTAAATTTCTCATCTCACCAGAGGACATATTTGAGTTCATGCTCTGTGGCCAGGCACACAAACGTCCTAGTTAGGTATTATCATCATCCCTATTTTCAAGTGATTAAACCTCTGGCTTCCAAACCTGCAGGCCTCTGCTCCTCCTACATCACACTGCCTTGCCAATAGGTCTCAAATGCATTAAAGAAGGGGTTTTAAGACAAACCAACTGGTGGAATTTACCACAAACTTGGTGGTAAAGTGCTGAACAGAATATATGTTATATACCAAAGATGAATTATTTTTATTAAGGGACCAGCATATTTTAAAAGGTATAATTTTTATAGGAACTGGGGAGGGGACTCTTATTTAAACCTGATTTTTTTTAAAAAATATTAACTCCTTTAAAGTTTTTGTAAAGGTCTTAATTTAAAATGTCACAAACTCATGGGTCTTCAACCTAACTTGTGGGCAATTATTGCAAATCTAAATGTGCAAACATTAAGAGCTAATGGTGAAAATACAAGAAAGCAAATATTAATATTTTCCTCTGAATTTTGGAAATCACAGTATTTTTTTTTTCCCCAGGTGTGGGACCAAACACTACTCCAGGAAGCTGACATTATGTGGGGACTCGTTTCATAGATTTTCGGTGTGTAAATAACAGCTAAGGTATGAATGAAGAGAAAAAAAATTAAGACTGAGACCCTGCATGTCAATCCAGCCCACGACAATGAACTCAAACCCCAATAAGTGCTTGCAAATGAATGTATGTATTCCTGCTGGGACAACAAACAGGGAGGGCAGAACTTAATACATTTCCTGATGGCAATTGCGAGGAGGCTGCAAGCGCAGGCTCAGGGGCACTGGCCGAATGCTGGCTGCGGGGCGCGGGGAGGAACGGCCAGGCACCGGGCTGCCCCTGTGGACGGTTTTCCCTCCTGTGCTGGGTCCCACCGGTCAGAGGGGCCACAAGGCTCCACACACTCTTCCTCGGGCAGCGTGAGCATGCGGGAGATTGGGGTGTCGTCTGGCTGCGGAATCGGGGCGCCCTTAAGCAATAAAGACAAGGGCCCGGGACACTAGGCCTCTTCCATGTGCCATTTCCACGCGGAAATTGGGGAAGAAATTGACACGGACTCCCCACCCTGGACTAAGGCGGGCGCGGAGCGGGGCCGATCGGCTCCTCGGCTCCCCCTGGCGGTCAGTGGCGGCGCCGCCGGCTGTCGGAAGCGCCTCCCGGCGAGCGGGAGGAGCCGGACGTGGCTGGAACCCGCCCCCGCCCCGGCGTGCGGCGGGGCCCGGCCTCACCCGCGATTCCGTAGTGCTGCGCGGCGGCGCAGGCCAGGCGGCCGGGCAGGTACGGGGAGAACTCGGCGGCGTAGCCGTGGCGGCCCGGCACCCGCAGCGTCCGCACCGACCCGCCGTGCGCCGCGCTCATGCCGCCCGCGCCCCGGGGCCGCGCCTCCCGGCCTCCAGCGCCGAGCGGAGTCCGAGGCGGCGGACCGGCCCGGGAGTTGGAGGCCCGGAGGACGGGGCGGAAGTAGAGACACCTGGTGTCCTGGAGGCCGGCTTCCTATTGGTCGCAGAGGAAAGGGCATTGAGGCCGACGGATTCATTTTTGTTTGGGGCAAAACAAACTAGTTGGCGCCACCGGTAGTGACCGGGCTAAAGCAGGGCAGTGTGGGTTAGGGGGCAACTTTAATTTTGCCTATCAGCCTCCACTGCGGAGCTGTCTGGTTTTTATTAATTCACTGAGCTTTTGAAAATCCTGGCATCGGGAGATGTCCCTCATTATTGCAAAATGAGACAAGCGACGGTAAACTCTGAAATCATGCCGCGAGTCCCAAAAGCAATTGAGAGCTGTGTCGCCCAACGTAATTTGAAGTCCTATTAAATCAGGTGGAGTGAAGCTAAGTTAAAAAAGGCATTAACTTAAAAAGAAACCTCACGTCATTGCCTTGCATAGTAAGTGCTCAGATGCAGGGCTAATTAAGGAAAACGGGCTTATTCACTCATTCATTCAAACATTTACTAACCATGTATTATGTGGAGAGGAGACCATATATAACTTACCTGGCAAACAAGACACTTTGAGAATGAAAGAGGGTGCAGTTAATAAATAAGCGAGGTGAACAGACACACACCTAGTTGTGTAGTCAGTTTGACTATACATCAAGTGCAGTGCTAAGCACTTTGGATTCAAAAGCAAGAACTTATACTCTATGCCCTCAAGAGATAAGTCTAGCAGACATGTCATCAGTTAAGTGTAATCACAATAATATAGGTGCTAGGAGCAACATATGGAGTATTTTTTTAAAAGTAAATTGTCAGTGTTGGAGGATAGGGTCAGAAAGGAGGTAATGTTTATGGTGAGTTAATGATGATGATGTTTTCTTTAAAAAGACAAGGTCACTGCAGGAGCAGGAATAACATGAACAAACCAAGAAACCTAAAATAGTATGATTGTGACTGCCAGGACTCAGCCTAACCACATGGAAAGGGGATGGTGAGGAGAACTGGGAGGGATTAGAGTGTTGTGCTGGGGCTGGATCATGAAGAATCTGTGTGCCATACCAAGGGAATTGGATTTCTACTCTAATTTAAACGATAGAGGACCATAGGAGTTTTCTAACATGAGAAATTAAATTACTGAGTCTTCACGTTAAAAGATCTGGTTAACACTAATCTGTAGGACAGAGATTAGAAATGGGAGGTCAATTAAAGGGCTTTACCAATAGTTCAAGCAAAAGATGAGATTTGAGACAAAGATAATGGGAATGTGAAGTAAGAGTCAGATGAGATTTTAGGGCAATAACTCATAATATATGACATTTAAGTAACAGGGAGGAATCAAAATGACTTCCATGTTTTTTACTTATATGCCTGGATGGATGTAGGGCCTCCTCACTGAAATTAGGACTATGAGAGGAGGGATAGGTTTTGGGAGAAAATGAGCTCCGGTTTTAACATATTGAATGTGAATTTCATATTGGACATACCAGTCAGGAGCTAAGGGAGTTCTTATTTTCATGTAAAATATATGTGAGCCATGAAAAGGATTGCTCTCACTCAGGAAGAGAGTGGTAGGAAAAGTGAAAAGGGCAAAAATAGAAAATTCCAGATGTAAGATGTGACAGAGGAAGAGGAGCTAGGAAAGGATTGGGAATCCTATTAATTAATTATACTGGTCAATAATACAGCTGTAGTTGGGAGAATTTGCATACAACCCTGTCATACATATTTAGATGGATATATTGAGAGTAGGTCCTACATTGGGAAAACGACTCAGCAGAGTTCTTAAGAGTATCAGAGAAAATAAGATAAAACATCTATTGCATTGCGGGCATATAGTAGGCATGCAAAAAATATGACAACCATTGCTATTATAGCAGGAAAGAATTTTCTAGTACAGATAAGTATTCAAGAAGTAGAGGATTTCTTTATTTTCTTGAACAGACTTAAATCTCCATCCCCCTAGGCCGTTAGAAAATTCAAGCTCATCAAATTTGGGGTTTCCTGGCTTCCCTGGAGTCACACCAGAATCTGACACTGGAGTGTAAAGTCTACAACAGTAGGATCATCAGCACCGATGTCTGGCAATCAGTGAAGAGTCTCTCTCACCTTTTGTCCATCAGGGTCACCATAGACATCTCCCTGTGCAAGTCTGAATTATCGTGTGAATGCGCGTTTCATGCCATACTTGAAGCCAAGCAGGGCCCAGGCCTCTTTACTGAGATGGGCTCCCACTACCCAGGAGCAGGATGGAGAGAGGGTGAAGGCCATGAAACCATTCCCACCAAGGGACAGGGCCCGGTTGCTGGCCCTTCTCCAAGCTGGAGACACTTTCCCACTGATCTTTCATCAAATGGCCATCTCTTGCCTCCCTCTTCTTAAGGACACATCAAAACTCTGTTATAAACTGATGAACCAAGAGACAGAGATAGAGAAAGTAAAGCAACAGGCAGACTGTCAAATTACAGTGGGGAGTGGAGGAAGATCTGGGGGAGATAATAGATCAACCAAAGGACTTATATACATGCATATAAGTACAACCAATGGACATAAAACTCTGGGGAGGGAGGGGAAGTGTGGGAAGGAGGGAGGGGGGTAAAAAAAAATCAATAAAATATGTAAAATAAATAAATAAATAAATAAAAAGAAAAAAAAACAAACCGGTGAGAAACCAATAAATTTTTTAAATTTGAAAACAAAACAAACAAACAAACAAAAAAAAAAACTCTGTGCAGTGAGTTTAAAGACTGTCAGGAGCTTCCACGCCAGTACGTCAAGTGCCCTGAGGCCAGGAATCACAGAGGTGCTGGCTATCTGATTGGAATAGGGAAGGAAAAACCTCCAGTACAGACAGCAAAATGCAAGTCAATACCAAGCCAATTGTCCTGGCACACTGTTAATGAAGAAAATGAATAAAACATCAATTAATCATTAATTAATAACAATTGACAGTAAAAACATAGATGTTTAGAAGTTAAAAGAATGTTACATATGCTTCCTCTCACTCCTAACCCATACAAGCCCCAGACTCAGCATACTCCCTCCCCAGGGACCTGAGATGGGACATGGGTGCCTCATCATCCAGGCAGTATTCCTCATATTTCATATCCCTGCCTCTGGATCTCATTGGGTAATTTCTATAATGCAGATTCTTAGGACACACCATGGACACATTCATTCAAAATACCAGGGCCTGGAAACCTGCATTCTAACAAGCTCTTCTGAGCAATTCTCATTCGTTGGCTAAAGCATAGAGAAGAACACGTTTGAGAAGTGCTCAGTACTGACAAGGACTTGAACAGTGGAAGCAAGCACTGGGAGCAGAAGGGAAAAGACACTGCAGGCAGAGCAAGCTGGAGTTCATAAGGTGTTCAGGACAGGATATCATTCATAAAATATTGACATCATCGAATTACACAGCATCTTCTCCTGAACCTGGAGGAGACCACCAGAACTGAATTACCCCCATAGCAAAATGGAACCAGGCTCACATTTAATTCTTACCGTGGACTTGATAGATGGCATCTGAGCGTTGAATTTTAGCTATCTACTTCATTCGTATAAGAACATAAATATACCAAAAGTCAGATTTAATTTAACCCTCTCAGGAGTTTCTATTTGAGGGGAACAAAGGCTGCCGTCACTTTGTTTTTCAGACATGGACAACTTAAATTCCTATTTAAGCTGCATTATCCTAACGGAATAAGCGTGGAGTGGGAGCCCTGACGTTCGTTCTTTAAACGCACAGTAACCGAGAGAGAGAAAGAGGCAACCACTGGCTGGCCATGAGTGTCTGCACCTGCAAACAAAAGGGAAACATACAGTCCCCACACTTTCCTTCCAGGAGTAGCCACTAGATATGAAAAGGTGTGAGAAGGATGCAACAAATATGACCATTTTATTTAGTGTTATAAACACAGTGAAACCTTCAACGTTAGTTTGGAATTAAATAAATACTCATAAGCTGAATAAATGTTTTAATTTATTTAACACATAATGGAATACCTTACAATAAGAGAATAAGAAATTGCACACACAAAATTACACAGATTGTATAAAGGACATAGGTGCCTGCTAGAGGGGAGTTCACCCTCAACACATCTGGGCCAAATATTGGTAAGTGTAGATTATAACCTACTGAATAAAGCAAATGTGATTTAAAAAAAAAATGGTTAAAAAGTTTGTCCTTAAATAAATTGAAAAGTTTTAGAATTTAGTTTCATTCTCCACTACCCTTCTGAGACAAAACTTTCAAAAAGCTCAAAAAGAAAGTAAAATCTCCCCTCCCCCTTTTCACTAGCATTTATTGCCTACAGAATTCTTCTGAAAGATTCTTTTGTTCCCTACACCCACTGACTTTTCTGGGTATTCTTAATGCTGCCTCCTACGCAGGAAAAGTCTTTACCTTCTTATCCCACACACCACCTCTGTCCTCCTTCAAATTCTACTCCCTCAGGATGGAATAATTCCAGAAATTTCACCTCGTCTCTAAAACTTAACTTCCAAATTTGAAGAGAACATGCATCTAATAAAGTTTGTAAGAATTGTAATTGTTTTTTTAATTTTTATTTTTCCCTTCTTTGAAGGGTTATAACAGTCATATCCTTTTTCTAACAAATTTAGTGAATGAAATACTTATAAAGTAATTTTGAGTAAGTATGTGCTTTGTGTTTCGGGGCACTTTGCTTCACCTTTTTTTTTTATTTTATATTCCCAGGTGCACAATAAGTATGATATAGTCTGATCCTTTTTATCTCTTAATTAACATCATAACCCCAAAACTTGTTATAAAGACATGCTATTATAACTGAAGATTATTTTTATTCAAACTAAGACCATCAGGAGGTAGTCATACTTGATCTCAAATCTTAGAATCTATATTTCATAGACAGCAGAATAATGTTTCCTTTTAGTGGTAGCTTGATT